TTCCAACTAGGATCCAATGGCCGGTTGTAGGAAATGAATTTTCCATTGTCACCACTCTGAATACAATCTATTTATCTGGGTTGAAGCATGTTTGAATTAACTGTCGGTTTTGAATGTAAGATGAGTCCACAGTCAACCATGAGGGTTCTGACCATGCTTATAGAGCTGAGTTTTGTATCCATTCCATAGGGAGGTAACAGGCTCTGCCTAGTTTCATTAGGGCAGGGCAGTGCCACCCACAGTCCCATTACTGTAGCAAAAGTTCTTATTTTGGGGGCAGGGGAGGACACCTGGAGGCAGGAAGGAGCTCCCATTTTGGTCTCCACGCAGGTGCTCATTGTTCATGAACCTCTGCTATGACAAAGGACAGGGGAGTTAGGCCTTATCTGGGAGGCCCTTGTGCCCGAGGGTGTGGTGGGATAGGTGAAGAGGGATTGCAGATGCTTTTAAAGGCAGATTCTCAAGAGGAAGGTAGGAATTGTCAAGGTAATCCTGCCTGAGAAAGAAACTTACAACAGGAGGAGGAAGAGATGGCAGCCTCTCAGATAGGAAGTCCCAGGACAAGGGCCCTGTCCATTTACCTCCTGAAACACTATATATTCAAAACTCTCAAATTTTTGCTTCTGATGCCCTTACCCAATGCATCTATATCCAATGACTTGTTTTTATTTTTCTTTGTATTACAGTCAAGGTTACTCTTGGCATGCTAGGCAAGGCTGTACCAACAGCCTACCTGCCAACCCCAAGGTTAACCCTTAACATTTTTTCCATAGCCATCAAAGCCAGCTCTCCATTCTATCTTCATCGGGATCTTTTGTTTGGGACAAATCCTGACCATGACTTCATGAGCTGTGATATTGCCAATGTTCCTGTTGTGACAGATGAAGATGGACACATGCTGACACCCAACGTCCTAATGGCAATGGAGTCTAGTCCTCAGGATCAGTGAGGAAGGAGCAAGCAGGTCCCATGGGTGCTCCATCAGCTCTTTGCAGTCCAGGGTGTGGGAAATGTGCCTGGAAACAGAATGGCCTTCATACAAAACTTTTACAAATCTACTGAGCAGTACCACCTAAAGCTGAAGAGATTTACACACCTCCTCACCACTTCCTCCACACCACTTCCTCCACACCTCTTCCTCCACACCTCTTCCTCCACACCACTTCCTCCCACACCACTTCCTCCACACCTCTTCCTCCACACCACTTCCTCCACACCACTTCCTCCACACCACTCCCTCCACACCACTCCCTCCACACCTCTTCCTCCACACCACTTCCTCCACACCACTTCCTCCACACCACTCCCTCCACACCACTTCCTCCACACCACTTCCACCACACCTCTCCCTCCACACCACTTCCTCCACACCTCTCCCTCCACACCACTCCCTCCACACCACTCCCTCCACACCTCTCCCTCCACACCTCTCCCTCCACACTTCTCCCTCCACACCACTTCCTCCACACCACTCCCTCCACACCACTTCCTCCACACCTCTCCCTCCACACCACTTCCTCCACACCACTTCCACCACACCTCTCCCTCCACACCACTTCCTCCACACCTCTCCCTCCACACCACTCCCTCCACACCTCTCCCTCCACACCTCTCCCTCCACACCTCTCCCTCCACACCACTTCCTCCACACCTCTCCCTCCACACCACTTCCTCCACACCACTCCCTCCACACCACTCCCTCCACACCACTTCCTCCACACCACTTCCTCCACACCACTCCCTCCACACCACTTCCTCCACACCACTTCCACCACACCTCTCCCTCCACACCACTTCCTCCACACCTCTCCCTCCACACCACTCCCTCCACACCACTCCCTCCACACCTCTCCCTCCACACCTCTCCCTCCACACCTCTCCCTCCACACCACTTCCTCCACACCTCTCCCTCCACACCACTTCCTCCACACCACTCCCTCCACACCACTTCCTCCACACCACTTCCTCCACACCACTCCCTCCACACCACTCCCTCCACACCACTTCCACCACACCTCTCCCTCCACACCACTTCCTCCACACCTCTCCCTCCACACCACTTCCTCCACACCACTCCCTCCACACCTCTCCCTCCACACCACTCCCTCCACACCTCTCCCTCCACACCTCTCCCTCCACACCTCTCCCTCCACACCACTCCCTCCACACCACTTTCTCCACACCTCTCCCTCCACACCTCTCCCTCCACACCTCTCCCTCCACACCACTCCCTCCACACCACTTTCTCCACACCTCTCCCTCCACACCTCTCCCTCCACACCACTTCCTCCACACCACTCCCTCCACACCACTTTCTCCACACCTCTCCCTCCACACCTCTTCCTCCACACCACTTCCTCCACACCACTTCCTCCACACCACTCCCTCCACACCACTTCCTCCACACCACTTCCACCACACCTCTCCCTCCACACCACTTCCTCCACACCTCTCCCTCCACACCACTCCCTCCACACCACTCCCTCCACACCTCTCCCTCCACACCTCTCCCTCCACACTTCTCCCTCCACACCACTTCCTCCACACCACTCCCTCCACACCACTTCCTCCACACCTCTCCCTCCACACCACTTCCTCCACACCACTTCCACCACACCTCTCCCTCCACACCACTTCCTCCACACCTCTCCCTCCACACCACTCCCTCCACACCTCTCCCTCCACACCTCTCCCTCCACACCTCTCCCTCCACACCACTTCCTCCACACCTCTCCCTCCACACCACTTCCTCCACACCACTCCCTCCACACCACTTCCTCCACACCACTTCCTCCACACCACTTCCTCCACACCACTCCCTCCACACCACTTCCTCCACACCACTTCCACCACACCTCTCCCTCCACACCACTTCCTCCACACCTCTCCCTCCACACCACTCCCTCCACACCACTCCCTCCACACCTCTCCCTCCACACCTCTCCCTCCACACCTCTCCCTCCACACCACTTCCTCCACACCTCTCCCTCCACACCACTTCCTCCACACCACTCCCTCCACACCACTTCCTCCACACCACTTCCTCCACACCACTCCCTCCACACCACTCCCTCCACACCACTTCCACCACACCTCTCCCTCCACACCACTTCCTCCACACCTCTCCCTCCACACCACTTCCTCCACACCACTCCCTCCACACCTCTCCCTCCACACCACTCCCTCCACACCTCTCCCTCCACACCTCTCCCTCCACACCTCTCCCTCCACACCACTCCCTCCACACCACTTTCTCCACACCTCTCCCTCCACACCTCTCCCTCCACACCACTTCCTCCACACCACTCCCTCCACACCACTTCCTCCACACCTCTCCCTCCACACCTCTCCCTCCACACCACTTCCTCCACACCACTCCCTCCACACCACTTTCTCCACACCTCTCCCTCCACACCTCTCCCTCCACACCACTTCCTCCACACCACTCCCTCCACACCACTCCCTCCACACCTCTCCCTCCACACCTCTCCCTCCACACCACTCCCTCCACACCACTTCCTCCACACCACTCCCTCCACACCACTCCCTCCACACCTCTCCCTCCACACCACTTTCTCCACACCTCTCCCTCCACACCACTCCCTCCACACCACTTCCTCCACACCACTTCCTCCACACCACTTCCTCCACACTACTTCCTCCACACCACTTCCTCCACACCACTTCCTCAGTATATATGTGTACCAGGTTCATCCATGTGTCACCAAAAAGCTTTCTAGAACTCACACGCCCAGCATTCTTCCTGACAGCCCACTGAAAACACTCACCTGTGCATCTGTAGTGGGCAGTTAGGTCAATGAAGCTGACATAAACACTGGCACTCAGTGTTGTAAAAAGACCCACAATTCCATTTAAAAACACACATGAATTTAAAACAACCTGTAAAACGTAAATCCCCCAGAAATATTTCCTGGTTTATAAGAGATGCATAAATTACAAAAGAGTTTACAGTGCTCTCAGCTGATAGATGTCAGAATACTGCTCATCACTGAGGAGAGTCAACAGAGAATCCTGAGGTGAAATCTGTGGGCAGAACATGTCCTGATTTCTTCTAGAAAGATTCTATGGAGTTGTGTCCAGTTTTTAAAATTCCATTGTGCTGTCCAACAATGATCTATCTGTTCATGGGCCTTTAAATAACTTTACCAAATTAGGATTTATTTAATATGGAAGGAATGAAAGTAATTTATTGTTATATTTTCCATAAGTATCAAACTACTTGAAACTGTGATCAGTGTCTTAAAATAAGCTGTCATTTCTAGGTTAAACATGAAAATGTAATAAATGCACAACTTCCAAGAAAAAGACTGAAAAGAAGGATTCTGTTTGGATTATTATGAAGTATGTTAAGATAGAAAAGGACAATAGAGCAGGAATCATGAAGCAAAACAGTAAGTTGATGAATCTAGTTCCAAATGTTTCCATTGTTTACTCAACAAAACAGACAAAAGCCATGCTATTGAGAACAAATATTTCTCTACATATAGAAGCAGCATTTGTGTCTATATAATGGGTCTGGGTGGAAGGACCCTGCACAGTACCTGCTTTCTCTAGCTTAGTGTTGCTGACAATGAATGCAGGGGGAAGAACATCGCCATCAACAGGGAAGTTCTTAAAGAAGCCAACTCATATTTCTGTACATATAGAAGCAGCATAATAATTAAAATAAATATAAACCATTCACCATAACCATACCGATATATACATGACATAAAATGCAGAACAGAATAGGAATTCATTCCTGTCATTAATATTATTTTTTTTGTTTTGACATGCAATTTTCCCAAATTACAGCTTCAAGGTAATACACATAACCAGACACATGGTCACAGAGACACACATACACACACATAGAGGAACACACTCATAACCATCTATGTGTGTACAGTGACAATTTTTATGTTATGATTTGTCATAAACCATTCAGCTCTAGAGAGATGAGTCAATAACCAGCAGGACATTGTACAGGGGCACACATGTCACATGTTCCTGAGGACACTAGGGGACGTTCTACTCCAGCAGAGCCTAGACACATTGGTGTCTCTGCTCATGAGAATAAAGGGGCTGAGAGCAGGGAAAGATGCATTGGTTAAGGCAGAGAGGTACACCAGCAGCTCACTCACATTACCAGAAACACCCCACCAAATGTGTATGGTGAAGGAGAGAGTGTAGAGAGACATAAAGGTGCTCACAAGAAGAAGGACTGTTTCAGTAGCTCTGGACTCAGCCGAGGACCTGCGGGAGGGACGACTGCCATGGAGGTGCTGGAACCTCTGCTTGTGCCTGTACAGGATGAGAACCATGGAGCCACTGGCCCAGGGCATGATCCCCAAACACAGCACATCAGGGAACGACAGCAAGGCTGAATTTATGGCATAAACATTTCTCTCATAATTACCATCAGAACAGTATCCAAATTTTTTTCTCTGTGTCATATTAATGTCACCCCTATTCACAGTCACATGCACAGGAACAATGATATTGACCAGCAGGTGGAGGATCCAGCACAGGAACACAGAGGTGCCAGTGTACCTGGGGGCTTTCACTTGGAGCTCTGCCCACCTGGAGTCCCTGGGGCTGATGGTGATGGCCTGGAAGACACTCAAGAGGCAGGTGCTGCTGAAGGACATACCCCTGCCCACCCTGTGAACATAGAAAACAAGTTTGCATCCAAGATCACTGAAGAAATGTCTAAACCCAAGAGCTGCCATGGTCTGTGGGACTCCCCTGAAGAGCAGGAAAAGGAAGTTGGCTACAGTCAGGTGCCTAATAATCAAATCTGTGCATCTTAACCTACACCCAGAGCAGTAAAGGCAGAGGGAGGAGGAGAGGAGACAGAAATTCCCCAGGATTCCAACCACAGTCTGGGTCAAGAAGACCACACCCATGGCCAGGTCCCCAGAGGCCATTCTTCCATTCCCACAGACGATATTTATCTTCAGAGCAGAAGATCCTGCATGAGGACAAGAGGTAAGGGCTACATTGAAAGGGTCACCTAAAGTCCAGTGCCTCTGCTTACTATTAGTTCACAATTAGGAACATGTACTTTAAGGTGTTTCTGTTATTAAGAGAATTCCAACATTAGAATGTCAGTCATAAAGTGTATAGAAATGTATTAAAGCTATTCTAGGAGCAGACATATGTAACCTATTTATTCTTTAGAATTCTTTACATTCTGTGAGGCCACCACAACTGTTGTCAAAATAAGGACAATTTAAGGACATCTGACTTTTTTTCAATTCCATTTGGTTAGTACTACAGGGAATCGATCCTTCCTGTGTCAATTCCAAACAGTGCATTTAACCCACATTGCCCTACTGTCCAGGCTAGTTAACCAAGTTCCTCCACTTTTCCAGGTATGTGTTTAATCGGTCCTTAACAACCTGTCCTTATGTTTTACACCACATGTAAGTAACTTTATAATTTTTAGCTAGTTACCACTCACATAGAAGTAATTTTTCCCAGCCATTATAATAAATTAAAAGATGATGATGAAAGTCAGATGCACTGATTGTAATATGAATTTGGAAGAAGCTGTGCCAGGATCAGGGTGGCTTAAATCAAGATTATTTATTTAATATATTATCCCCACATCAAGACTGTTGTAATAGACTCATTTCCTTTTATTACATTAAAAAATGGAAAGAGCCCCTAGCACAGGATTTATTAAACTTCTGACACCACACACACTTAACTACAACATGTGAAACAATAGTACGTGAGTGGGTAGGGCAGAAATTCAGTTTGCCAGATTTTCTTCTTACAGACATTAATCAAATGTATGTTTTACAGGAAACAACTGCTCATATAATGAGATACAGGGGAAATACTAATGCAAGACAATTATGGAAAATTTTAAAGCATGGAATCGTGCATTTTACCTATTAAAATGGTAGACTTGGGGTCTACATTTATTTCCAAATGACAGATAATTATATGTATTTGCTAAAATGAAATGTTCTGATATATTTATATATGGGAGAAAGTGTTGATAAGTGAATTAACATATCTATAAGCTCATCAACTAATCTTCTTGGGAAATTGTTAAGGTGAAATTAAAATTTCATAAAGCAAGGAAACTCATAACAAGAACTATCAAGGTCTGACAACTGCCATGTAACACTATCATAAGTCACCTGTTCATTCCACACTGTCTCCTGAACCTCAGGAATAAGGACTGTCTCACCATGACCAACAGCCCCTCATGTCCCCAGTGCACATGCAGTTACTGTTCCACTCAGCACCTCCTACAGCAGAGTTGAGGAAGCATTTCTATTCCAGCCAGCAAAATTCAATGCACAGAAACTGCACGGGACTACACAATTCTTGCAGGCTTATCCTACTATACATTGTAAGAATAGAGATTATATAAGTACACACATAGTTACTCTAAAAGTCATATGGACAATTGATATAAAGCTGGCTGAAGGAGCTGGGGTTGTGGCTCAGTGGTAGATTGCTCACCTGGCATGCATGAGGCACTGGGTTCGATCCTCAATACCACATAAAAATGAGATAAAGATATTGTGTCCACCTAAAACTAAAAATAAATTTTAAAAAAGCAGGCTGAAGAGCAGATTGATTTTAGAATTTTATTCTTTAAGCAATTGACACTCAAGTTTCAATATCACGTGGATTAAAAACAAAAGTATTTTTCACTGATGAGGACACTAACTTCAATTGAGGGCACCAGACATTGGTGGGGGTCTGCTGCTCTCACCTCCCTGCACTAGCTCAGCTCAGGCCTCAGGAATTTCTACTCCTGAGTGGCTTTGGCACTAGAGCACGTCCGAACTCTAAGATCCCCTTTATCCAACACCTCACTTACCTAGACTCCAAAGTGCCTCCTTCCCTCACACATTCTGTCAGGCTCCAGTAGCAAATTCCCCCCTTCCTCCATTCTGCTGACTGCTGAGCACACCCAGTGGTCCTGACAGGCAGGGCTGTGTGGGTGGAGGCAGCCAGACCCTGAGATATGGCTTTGTGATTGTGTGACCTCACCTCCCTGCAGAGCTGCAATGATCATGTCACCTGTCATGGCAATGACCGTGTAGCTGGGGAAGCTGAGATCATCAGAAAACTTTTTGCCCAATTGCAATTACCAAAACAAGCCCCTAGCTCCTACCTGGCATCTCCAAAGAGACTTGGCAGTGTCTGGGGAGGTTCCTTTCCTTGATGCCTGGACACAGACAGTGGAGCACATACAGCAAGCAGGAAATCTGCAGTGTCCATGCATGGATGACTGGAAAAAGAAAATGAGCGTGGATACCTCCCCAGGAATACTACTCAGCCACAAAAAGGAATGAAACATTGTCATTTGTGACAACATGGAAGAGTCCTGGAGTCATTGTATTAAGTAAAAATTGAGAAACTTAAACACAGTTGCTGCATGTTCTCACTTACATTTTAAGCCATATGGCGTAGCATGCACACAGTCAAAAAGTGGTAACCAGAGGTCAGGAAGGGTAGGGAGGGGCAGAAAGAGAGCAGATGCTCCACAGGTACAGGGATGTTGAGAGCCGCAGCCAGGTCGGGATGGTGCCTGGCATTTTGCCAGAAGGAGAGGTTGGGAGGTGACGCCAACGAGCCATTGGGATGATGGTGATTAAGTTAAGCTGTGTATAATTATTGGGATGGTGACTGATTGCTGTAACTGGATGATGCTGGACTGGGGCAAGCTGTGTATTCAGTTGTGTATGTGGACCTCTGCTGTCCAGCAGTGGGGCGGCTCCTGCTGCCTCGGGTGCCCGCTACTTTTGAGTTCTCGCAGAGTTCCCGTTGAGTTCTCGCGGAGTCTCCGTGGAGTTCTGGAGAGTTCCCATGGGGTTCGGGCAATAAAGTAGTTCCTGTTTGAACCTACAAGTGGCTCGTGACTTCCCGGTTATTTTGTGCCCAGCCAGAGTGCGGCACAGGGACACAATCATATTGGAGGAATCACTTCTAAACTTCTGGAGCAATATAAGGTGATGTAGTCCACAACTAATTGTATATATTTCAGAACAGCTATTGGACAGGATTCTGAATGTTTCAACACAAATGATCAATGTGAAGCGCAAAATATTTAACAATTACCCTAAAGTGAACCTACACATTGTATACGCATGTGAAAATATCGCATCATACCCACAAATATGTAGCTATCACAAAATATTTAATATCAAAAAGTGAGTCTGTAGAAAAATTGCATATATTGTCATATGTAGATATACATTAGATAGTTTGGCATTGAGAGATATATGGCTGCCATCTCACAGAAACTTAGTGGCCAGAACTCTAAGAAATAAATATATAAGCATTATTTATGTTCTTATCTGTTAGGCATTGCACTTATTTGTTCCCCAACAGGCATGTGATGGTATTTCAGATGGGTGTACAGAGGGAAACTTCAATCAGAGATGCTAAAGATCTGCTCCCCTTCTTGACCCTCAAGGACACAGAAAGAAGACCACCAAGCACCACAGAGGTAGAGAGCACTCTCAAAAAGGCGGTGACCAGACTTTAATATTGGTTGTCTCAGACGCCAGAGTGGTAAGAAGTAAATCACATTGTTCAAGCTCCCAGTATTGTTATAGCCCCTGAGCAGATTGAGGCAGGTTGAATCTGTATCAGAAGAAATTATTAGAAACTTCCTTTCCTTTAAATCTGCAGTTTCCACATTAGGAATGCTTGATAATTTTATTATTATTTTGTTATTTTTCTAATGCAACCTCTTTTCCATACTATCTTGTAATTCATTAAAACATATGGAGCTGTGCACCATCATCATCATCTTTAGTAGGGGCAACTCCAACCCTGGGACACTGGCTGGGGCCTAGAAGCAATATCAAGGTGCCTATAGTCCCCCACACCCACACACACACAACCACCAACCTGGAAAAGCCCTTGTAGCTAAGTGGCCAGCCCTTAGTTCTCAAAGCCTGGTCCTGATCTGCCTGATCCAGATCAGCACTCGCAACAGGTGCACAGGCCTCAGACCGCAGCCCACAGGACCTCTGGATAGAGAGGTTCCTGATTGGGAAGTAGAAAGGGAAGGGGCAAGAGAAATACAGTTTAGAGACTAAATTAGAGACCAGGAATTGTGGGGCCTACAGGTAATATAAGGGGCTAAGACAAGGTGCCCCCATCACATGAGTGAGCCCCAAAGAGATCCATGGGGACTGATAAGTGCTCTGCCCCACCTCCAAGACCAACCCTCCCACACTAATAACCTTTACCATCCTGAGGGTGGAGAGGCCAGCAAACCCCAGTCAACCCCACCTACCAGATGAGAAAGGAAGCGAGGAAGATACTGAGCTCCAACAGAAACAATTGCTCATTTTTCCTTGAAGATTTTTTCTTCTTCTTCCTTTTTTCCCTCTCTCTTTTCCCACCCTCACATCCCAAACATTTGTGAAACCAAGTACTTTTTATACATTAGGCTACAGAGGACTGCAATGTCTGGATACTGTATTACAGTCTTGTTGCATAGTCTATTATCTTTTATTGTTACATTTTTTCCTTTTTCTTATTTTTTTTGGTTGTGTGTTTTTTGTAATATATTCCTGCTGCCTGTCTCACCAGAATGTCCTTCTGTCTTTCTCCTGCTACCAGCCAACTTCTTTTGATTTCTCATTCATGCCTTCTAAGATCTAATACCTCTATATCCTCACTTCCTACCATCTTAACATCTCATTCTACACAACCTGGTTTTCTCTTTGTCACCATTAGAAATTTGTAGACCCTTTGAAAACCCTACTGTTTATATTATATGTAATAATTGAACAAACCATTTCTGTCTATTGTGACAAAACTGTAAATGCCTTAATAGGAGCTATTTGGTTTAAGGCTGCATACTGTTTGCATTGGGATCTGTTGATATTGATCTTCCCCTTAAAGGAAAGTTATCAGATACCTGCAGGGACACTATAAG